TCTCTCTCTCTCTCTCTCTCTCTCTCTCTCTCTCTCTCTCTCTCTCTCTCTCTCTCTCTCTCTCTCTCTCTCTCTCCTCCAAGACAGGGTTTCTCTGTAGCTTTGGAGCCTGTCCTGGAACTAGCTCTTGTAGCCCAGGCTGGCCTCGAACTCACAGAGATTCACCTGCCTCTGCCTCCCGAGTGCTGGGATTAAAGGCGTGCGCCACCACCACCCGGCTAAATAAATGTTTCTTTATGAAGTGCCAGCCTCAAGTATTCCACTACAGCAACAGAAACTGGACTGCTACAGTAGAGATACGTACTACAGCTAGGGAAGCCGGCGCAGGGGAATAAGAGGGACGTGATCGAGTGTCAAGGTCACGTAAGTACCGCTAATGAGGCAGAAGCTTGAGTAGACCCCTGGAAGAAGGAAGAGGAGGAGCCTCCCAATCACCTAATCGATAGGGCTTCCTCTGGGAGACTGGCAGGTGCCAGTGCCCTGAGGCAGATCTTTGGCCTATTCTAAACAATGAGGTCATTGTTTTTGGAATGGGTGTGAACAAAGAGACCTCTAGACAATGACATCAGTGGGAAAGCAGAGCAGATCACAGGGCCTGGCCGGGCCAGCAGAAACATAGCATAAATTGCAGATGTCATTTTAAAATTTCAAGCAGCCATACTTGAAGACTAAAAAGAAACAAGTGCAACTTTAATGACATATTTTGTTCCAGCCAAGATATTATCATATTAACAAGGAACAACTGTATTACACTACAAAACAAGTTACAAATGTGATGGTTTACATTCTTGGCTTTCTTACTAAGTCTTAAAGTTTAGTATAGATTTTAAACTCACAGCACAGCTAAATTCAGTCTTGCAACGTTTCTGAGAGGGCCAGCCATGATAATCTAAGTCTGGGCAGAAAGTTCTTTACTGTCTCCAACCATTATCACCTGGGACTCTGGCCATTGATAAATTTAAATGGAGTCTAGTTTACCCTGAGACAATGCCTGACAGGCTGAGATTACCTGATCCCCACCCAAGAGCAGACCATTCAAAGGAAATTTTTGGCATTCCAAGCACTGTAAATAGAAACACCTGCCAGGACACCCCTAGACAAATGTCAGCCAATCAGGGATCCTGAACCTCAGAAACCCATCACCCCCACCTTTACTACTATAAAAATCCAATTCTAATTGAGCTCGGGGCTCTCCAGTTATTCCAATACGTTGGACATGCGGAGAGACTGAGTTTGCAAACTTGATTAAAATAAAGGCTCTTTGCTTTTACATATGGGACTCAGTCTCCTTTGTTGGCTTTTGTGGGGACCCACAGATTTGGGCATAACAATTTCCAGGTACACATTACTCACAAATGGCTACTAGCTACCCTAACTGATCAGGCAGTTAAACAAAAATTGTGAAGCTTTTAAAGGGTTTTGGTTTTGTTTTCTTTTTATATACCTATAACATTATTAATTATTCATTTTATTATTTAATATTTGATATTTTTATTACTAATTTATATTATATATAATTTAAGTGATAAAACCTAGCAATATGAGAAAAAATGAACTATTATGAATTCATGTTTCCATCACACACTTTAAACAGCAGTGTCTGGTCAAGCTCCTCTCTCTCTCTGTCTCTCTCTCTCTCTGTGTGTGTGTGTGTGTGTGTGCGCATGCACACGCCTCTGTGTGACTGTGTCTGTGTGTGACTGTGACTCTGTGTGTGTAATGTGTCAGATCATCAGGGTCATTCTACAAGGACTTTCTCTCTAGCCAGTGTGGTCAGTGTTGATTCATCTATATTAGCCAAAATCCAAGCTATTCTAAAGAAATATACTGGCAAGTTTGGAACAGAGGAGAACCTTATCAAAGCCCATTCCACTGCCTAGTGGGAAGAAATTCTGAAGGGCAAACATGGAGGGAATTGTTATAATCTGCTGGTCTGGTCTATCACCTGTGTACACTAGCCTTTAAGAGACAAGCCCCGCCCTCTCCCAACCCCTCCTCCTTCTGCCTAGGGAAGCTGAATTTCCTTCAGCCTACACTCTCTCTTTCCCTCTCTCTCCTGAAGAGGTAACTTCTGCTCCCTCTCTCTCTCCTCTCTCCTGCTCTTTCTCTCTCCCTCTTCCCCTTCCCCTTCCCTTCCATAACCCACTAAATAAACTATACCCACTTTCTCTGCATGGTGCGTATATCAGCTTCTCACGCACCGAGGGCCACCCGCAGTGGCTCCTCATGGGACCAGCCGGTGATCAGTGGCCTAGGACTCTCACCTGCCTCCTCCCACCTACCTGGGACCCACAGAGGCCTCGGTGGTGGTACCAGCTTTCCCCTTGTGGCCTGCCACTGGCCCTTGGGAAACTGCGCCATTTTATTTAAAGCATTGTGCCTAACCTCCCATCTTTTTAATATAAAAAAGAGATGGGAATGTAATGGTCTATCCAGTCCCTTTAAGAAGTAAGCCCTGCCCGCTCCTTCCCCTTCCAGCTTGAGCTTCTTCTTTTCTTTCTCTCTCCCAAAGAGGTAGTTTCTTCTCCCCCATTTTTCTTTCCCTCTCTCTCTCTCTGCCTCTCTCTACTCTAGCCCTTTCTCCTCTTCCCCCTTTCCCTCCATAACCACAAAGTAAATAAATACTTCCTTTGCATAAGCCTGTCTCCCACCTATCTGCTCCTCCTTGTGGGACCTGCTGACCCGCCAAGGTCTCTCTCATCTGCTGCTTAGTTCCCTGCTTGGGATCTGCTGCCCCTCGTGGCCCACTGCCTACTGCATTACAGGAATAGCCAGACAAACTGGCAGCTGTGTATCTGGGGTGGTGGCTGTTTGTCAGGGTGGTGACTGTCGGGGTGGTGGCTGTTGGTTGGGTGGTGGCTGTCAGGTGAGACTAGACTGGGCTGACTGGATCCCTGACAGCAGAAGCTGACCGCAGATACTGATGGATTTATTAAACATGGGAGAGAACCGGCAACTGCTGAACAACAGAGAGTTTGTTTAAATTTAACACATTAAATTCAAGCCACCCATCCACTACCAAAGTGGGGACAGTAAATTAAAAAGTTGGATATGTAGGGCTGCAGCTCGGAAAAGAAGTGGCAGCAGGAGATACAAATTTGGGAATACAGGCAGCAGAGGAAACCCTGGCCACCTGTTATCTATTGCGTAAGAGAGAGGAAGATTTTAAGTTCTAGACCAGTTTAGGATATATTCTTATGTCAAATGGCAGGGGAGGGCGGGGAAGGCAGGCAGGTGTGTTTAGGGGGAAATTTATGGAATTGAGAGGAACAGAGAGAGGGTTGGTGACCCCCCTCCATGTTCATGGCGGGAAGAGGAAACACAGAAGCCCCAAGTGAAGAAAAATATAAGTAAGAAAAGAAGCCCCAAGTAAGAAAAATATAAAAATAAAACACAAAGGAAAGCAATGTCACTAAAGATAAGAAAAAGAAATATTTCAGGAAGGGGAAAAATTAATTCACAAAATTAGAAAATAAACTGAAACAAACCAGCAATCAACATTTGTTTGGTGACAAAATCCAGACAAAGGGTTATTATTCTACCAGACCTGGAAGCAAAATTTTGTCGCTCCACATCTCTGCACAGTACTTTCTTGGATGGAAAAAAGAAAAAAAAAAAAAAAACAAGCAGGGGAACAGGCTTCAGGCTTCAGAATTCTTCTTTCTTCTGCAGTCTCATTGTTAACAGTATCACAGGTATTTTGAAGCAGGGTATTTTATTATATTGCTACAAATAAACACTGTTAAAGACAGCAAGCCAGAACATTCACCATAAAAAGATTTGCAAACATTTGAGATCTCATACTGGCATCTGGGTGAGGGATTTCACACCTATAATCCCAGCGAAGGAGACTGAAACAGGAAGACAGTGACTATATAGCAGGAATCTGTATCCTAAAAAAGAGAGAGGAGAACAAAAATATAAAAATCTCCTGTTGTAGATATGTATTGTAGATAGAATCCTAATGTAAAAAAATTTTAATTTTAAAAGTTACATATTTTATCTGTCTATGCCAACAATGCTTCCACGGGGAATGCTCCTAAAATTCATGGGACTTTCTGGGAGAAATATGGCAGTCACCTACCCTCCAAAGTCACACAGCACAAGGATCGGCTGCGGGGCCCGGGAAAGCAGCATCGTGGCAGGAGCCTGCGAAGACGGACGCGCTGAGGCTGGAGTGAATGGAGCTCAGACACAGGCTAAGAAGACCTCTGCAGGACATAAGAGAAAAGGCCAATGGTCCGGTTCTCAGCTAGGCAATAGTGGCACATACCTTTAATTCCAGCAATTGGGAGGCAGAGGCAAGTGAGTCTCTGTTAGTTAGAGGCTAACTTGGTCTACAAGAGTTAGTTCCAGGACAGCCAGAGCTGTTACTCAGAGAAACCTTGTCTCAAAAAACAAAAACAAAAAAAAAGAGAGAAGAATATAAATTTGCACAGCCACTATAAGAATCAATATATAGTTTCCAAAAACATTAATAATAGAAATTACCATGCAATTCTACTCCTGGGTTTATATCCCAAGGAAGTAAAATCAACATATTACATATCTGTGTTCGCATGTTCATTGTCACAACAGCCTAAGACAAAGAATTAATCTTAAGTGCCTATCAGTGGATAAACTGATAAAGAAATTATGGTATAAATATAAAATGGAGTAATATTCAGCCCCTGAAAAAAAGAAAAACCCTGTAATATGCAATAATATAGGCAAACCTAGAGAGGAAAACATGTAATTGGGACTGGCTTACAGGTTCAGAGGTTTAGTCCATTGTCATCATGGCATGAAGTAGGGCAGCATGCAGACAGACGTGGTGCTGGAGAAGAAGCAGAGATGGCTGGCAGCAAGAAGAGAGAGAGAGAGAGAGAGAGAGAGAGAGAGAGAGAGGGCCTGGCTTGAGTATCTGAAACCTCAAAGCCCTCCCCCAGTGACACATTCCTCCAACAAGACCACACCTACTCCAAGAAGGCCACACCTACTCCAACAAGGCAAGTCTCCTAATAGCGCCATTCTCTATGTGCCCCTGCAGGCCATTTCCATTCAAACCACCACAAAAGGTAAGGAAACCAAACAGGCAAAACAAAGTTTCAACACAAATTCACTAACAAGTACAGCCTAAAAAAAAAAAAAAAAAAAAAAAAAAATCAAGCCTGTAGAAGAAAAGAACATGGTAAGACGGGGGTGTAGACTGGGTAGGGACTAGCTAGAGAAACGTTGCTGAAAGGGTGCCACCTCCATCCACGAGAACTTCCTTCCTGCTTTTCACTCAGCTGCTTTGGTCAAGGTGGCCAGAGGCTTCATGCTGCCAAACCCAGCAGCCAATTGTCTGCCACTGGCAACCTTGACCAAAGCAGTGAATGGGCTCAGGGATGGAAAGAAGGGAGGGAGGGAGTGTTCATGGATAGAGGGAGGATGTGGCTGCGCAGGCCCTTAGGCCATCTGTAAGTCTTCCCTTCCACTGTGCTCCGACTTCCTGTGTCCACAGCCTTGAAGAATTATTCTCTTACAGGCCAAGAGCATGGTGACATTTAGATGTCACTTTCAGGATCAGACTGTAAAAGACTGACCTCTGCCCAGGCAATGGTGGAACACACCTTTAATTCCAGTACAGGCAGACAGATCTCTTTGAGTCTAAGGTCAGCCTGGTCTACAGAACGAATTCCGGGGCAGCTAGGGCTACACAGAAAGACCTTGTCTCCAAAGAAAGACTTACTTCTGCCTGTCGGTCTGCCTGTTAGCAGATTTCTCAATTTGATGAAGCAGCAAGCTGCCGTGTCAGGAGACCTGCATGCATGAAGCAGCCTAGGAACCAAAGTCCTCCCAGTCCAAGAGGCCAGAGTGTACAGCCTGCTCTGGAGAAGAGCTGCCAGTCCTGGCAAGCACCTTGATGCCACTTTGTTTGGATGGTAAAATGTCGCGTACCAGCCTCGACAAAAATACCTTTCTCCAGGGTAGAGGCATGGTAATTTAGAAACACAGTAAAGAATATGAAGACGTAAATGAAAATAATAAAATGCAGAGACATAGGATAGTATCGGGAGGGAATTTCTTAATTCCCAATTGCTTAAAATACCCCTGACCCCAAAAGGTAGGAGTCAGACAAAAGACTGTATTAACATGATACAAGGAAATCAACACACGAATTGAAGGTCGTGAACTATGTCGACAGTTAAACATTTTGTTGCTAGAACTCTAAAAGCAAGTCACGCACATACCTTGGACCAAAACATTCTGTAGGCAAACCACTCCCTGGGTGGAATCCCAAGTTCTCTCCATAAAGGAAGATCATAGATCCTTAGACTCTTGTTTGCAGTAGAAACATCTACTTCTTTATTCCTGGAGTACAGGGCTGGCTATTAGCCACACCTGCTGGCAATAACTCTCTGAGCTACTTCTAGGTGGGACCTTTGTTTGAGGTTGAAGCACAATTACACAATAACCTTGAAGGAAGGTAAGTTCCAACTCTCTGACCTTTGGTCAACAATGGAAATAGGCTCCTATTTTCAGGCTCATATTTCATATATTTCCACATTAAGAGGAGGCCCAGCTAACTGGTGCCTGTACACCCGATCAAACACAGACTAGGAGAACAAGTAACTTTAAAGTGGTCAATTCTTTGGTGAAAACGGTTACAGGTAACGAATATAGGGCTGCAGTCAAAGTGGGTGGGGAGGCTGTTTGTTTTGTTGTTGTTTGGTTTTTCTCAACACAGGGTTTCTCAGGTTTCAAGACAGAGCCATGGCTGTCCTGGAACTCACTCTGTAGACCAGCTCATCTGTCTGCCTCTACCTCCCAAGTGCTGGGAGTGCAGGCGCCGCCCCCCCCCACTCCCCCATCCCCTCCACCCCCCATCCCCACCCCACCCCCCACCCCCGGCTCTATTCTGGCTTTTTTGAATGAGGTAACCCAGGCTGGTATTGATTCCCAGTTGTCCTGACTCAATTTAATGTGAGTGGACTGGGATGGAATGGGAGGTTACACCAATCGGAAAGCAAGCACTGCTTATAAGGTCACATAAGACCAGAGACTGAAGCTGATGATACCCTTTCAAGAACAGGGCAGGGGATGTCTCTAAGAGCAGATGACAGAAAAAAAGCCAGTTTGCCTCAAACCAAAACTCTGGGGAAAGAAAGGATATCTTTATTTTTGTTTATTTTTGTACTTAAGATTTGTGTGTGTGTGTGTGTGTGTGTGTGTGTGTCTGTGTGTGTGCGCAGGTCGGAAAAGGTATCAGATCCCCTGGAGCTAGAGTCACCTTTTTGCTGCCATGATAAAACACCATGGCCAAGGCAAGTATAAAAGAAAAGCATTTAATTAGATTTATGGTTCCTGAGGGTTAGAGTCCATGAAGGCAGGATTGGCTGAGAGCTCACTTCTCAGAGGGCAGAGAGCACACGGCATGGTGGAAGGATTGTAAAACCTCAAGCCCACTCCTAGTGACACACCTCCTATAACAGGACCACATCTCCTAGTCCTTCCCAAACAGCCAACAACTGGGGGGCCAAGTATTCAAATATATGAACCTGGAGTGGGGGAGGGGCGTTCTCATTCAAACCACTACAGTTGGCGGTACATACAGGTAGTTAGAAGCGGCTGTTGTAAATGCTGGGAGCCAAACTCAGCTTTCACAAAAGCAGCAATGCTTTTAACCACTGAGCTTCTTTCCAGATCCTGCCCTGACTACTGTAAGCACAACTCTGCCCTCACGGGGACTTCATGGTAACTGCTTGGTCCTTTCAGTCCTAAAGCAAAAGACAGGTCTGTCTCAGGTTATCTGCAGTGTTCCAGAGATTCCCAGCAGAAAGCAAACACAAAATCAATGTCAGGTGGGTATTATCTCAGTTCAGGCCAGACAGGATTTCCACCACAAAACCACACTGATCATGAGACAATTCAACATTACATGACAAAAACAATCTGTCATGGATGACAATCAGTATTGACTAGAAACTATCAAATTAGACCCACAAAGAACTTGATTTCACATAATAGAATTTGATTATCCATGCCTGGAGCCACAGGCCTATAACTTCAGCTACTCTGGAGATTAGAACAGGATAATCGTATGTTCCAGATTTGCCTGGGCAATGTAGTGAAACGCTCTTTCAAAATTTGAGAAAAGTATTGAGAAGGTTGGTATATTGGTTACTTTCCTGTTGCTGTGATAAACACCACAGTCAAGACAATTTACAAAAAAGGTTTACTTTGGGCTTACAGCTCCAGAGGGCTAAGAGTCCATCACCATCAGATCAGGGAAGGGTGGCAGCAAGCACCAGGCTTGGTGATAGGGGCTAGGGTTGAGAGCTCACATCTCTAACAACAAACAGGAAGCGCAGAGAGGGCAAATCATGACGGTGGGAGTCTCCAAGCAGCAATCTTTGTCCAGCAAGGCCACACCTCCTATTCCTTTCCAAACACCACCAATAGTGGACCAATAGTTCAGATGCTAGAGAATGGCAACATTTATCATCCAAATACTGCAAGAGCCAGAGTTACATTTTAAGTCTTAATTATTGTACCTAAGAGATCCGTGAAACAAAAGTGTCTCTAACCTCTGAGCCCCTTGCCAAGGACAGACAGTTCTCGAGGTTGTTTGTGGAAGATGGATAATAAGCCACAAGTGTTCCAGCCCCTGAACGGGCTTGTCTGAGCCTTTGGCACCAGATGTGCTTGATAACCTGTAGGTGGGAGAGGTGCAGGGCAGGAAGTGTGTCAAGATGCATACTTGCCCTAACTGAACCTAATAGGAAATAGAGTGGCCTATGGGTGTGTCTTTATAAGTCTCAGCAAATGTGAGTCGTCACCATTTCTCAGGAACCCTGAATGGACCTCGCCAAAGTCCACCAACCTGGCCAGTATTTAAATAAAACTTGCTTCAAATTTGGCTTTATATTGTGGTAGTAGTCATCTTATTCTCAACCGGTGGGATTAACACCAATACAATTGGAAAAAGACCTCAGAGGTAAAAGCAGAAAGAAGGGAGGTAGGGAGGAAAGAGGAAGAATGGGGTTTTATCGAAGACCATTTGTTTTTAATGTTTAAAAAGAGAGGGTTTGTTTGGTGGTGGGGATGAAACCCAGGGCCTTGTGTACACACACTCCTACTGATATACATCACCCAAATTCTCACATTAAAATAATAATAATAATTAAACCAGGTGGTGGTGGTGAGGTACGCCTTTAATCCCAGCACTCGAGAGGTGGAGGTAGGTGGATTTCTGTGAGTCTGGCGCCAGCCTGGTCTACAGCGTGAGTTCCTGGACAGCTAAGGCTACACAGAAATCCTGTCTCAAGCAAAACAAAACAACAACAACAACAAAAAGTGTGTATTTGAAAAGAAGATGCCCATTCTCAGCCAAGATGACAGAACAGAAACTGCATTTGCTCCTGTGGTTGGAAATCAACAAGCCCCAAATCACTGGAATCTGTGGGGCAAAAGAGACGCTGCAGACTAGGGATCCTGAGATGGGGAGACTGTCCCCGATACCCGAGGGCACTGACACTGAGTGTCACTAACAGTGTCTGTGCAGGAAGGAGGCAGAGGGCGACTGACGCACTGCACTGCTAGCTCGGGAATGGAAAGGAGGGCTGCACGCCAGAAAGGAAGGAAGCCCTAGGAGTCCTACGAGGCAGGGAATGCATTTTTCTGCCAGGAGCCTCTGGAGGGAGCACGTCCTGCCAACACCTTGATCTCAGCCAGGATAACCAAGATCTCAGCCAGATTTCTGAACTCCAGAACCATAATGGAATAACTGTTTTCACCCACCAAATTTGTGATTATTTTTATGACATCATAGAAAAATAACATACTACTCCCCCTTAAAACAAAATCAAAGGGCCAAATATATAGAACAGGTTTTCAGGCATGGCACAACAGGAAGCACAAAATGCTGGTGCCCAGGAGAAGGAAGGAAATGAGCACATGCATGTACACAGCACATACATGTACACACACACACACACAGCATTGCTCTCAGCTTACACTATTAATTTCAAAGCTTTAGCACAGGGAACATGAACCCACATCAGCCAGGTGTTCTCCTTTTTAAGATAAAAAGTTGAGAATTTAGAAAGGCTGATGCAGCTAGCATTGAAAAAGCAGAGACAGTATTGCCCGAGACAGAGCCACACCGACAACGTGCCACAAGGCACGAGACGTACAGAACTGTCCCACGTACACCTGAGTTTAGGTGTGCTGCTCCGTGATTAATTAGAATCTCAGTGGCTGCTCCTCTGGAGGCTGCATTTCCTCCTTTGCCAAGCATTTTAAATTCTAAGGAGCTGCACTTTAGTGACTAAATTAAGCTGCAGATAACATCGGAATGTGTAGCGCCCTTATTCTTTAGTTCCACAGAAGGCTTATAAATTATCAAGAGGTCAAATTTCCTGAAAAAATACAGGGATGTTCATGCCTGACTGTAATTTGAACACTGAGGAAGGACAGGAGGATTGCCGTAAGTTCAAGACTAGCCAAGGCTACACAGTCAAATTCTAGTTCACTATACAAATTGAAAGGGAGAATGTGGGGTTTTTTTGGGGGGGGGGTCCTTTTTTCATTAAAATAAACTGCAGGAGCAGACCGAGGAGGTAGAGTTCAATTATAATGTCCCATTCCAGAGAAGGAGAGAAAAGCATTACCTGAATGACGAGTCCCCTAGGCAGAATCTTTTCCCCTGAGACTACTTTCCCTCTTCAGAAACACCTTTGCAGCCAGGCCGTGGTGGTGCAAGCCTTTAATCCCAGCACTTGGGAAGCAGAGGCAGGAGGATATCTGAGTTCAAGGTCAGCCTGGTCTACAGAGAGTTCCAGGACAGCCAGAGCTGTTACACAAGGAAACTCTATCTCAGGGGGAAAAAAAAAATACCTTTGCACACCCAAGTGCTTTAAGATGGAGCTTTGAGAAAAACAATTTATCATTTTCTCAGAACAATGACCCTTGAATAAATTTGATTTTTGTTCTTCCTTCTCCCATTTCCCAAGTATTGGCTCTGAGAATTGACCAACTAGACCTGGGCGTGGGAACAATAAGCAGAGTCACATCTTTGTACAGGACATGTCCGTCAGCACTGGTGCTCTTCACACATTATTGTTGGAAATGTGAAATGGTACGGCCACTCTGGAAAACCTTTATTGAACTAGAAACAGCACGGACACCTATTAACTAAGGAATGGACTAGTAAATGTTATAGCTACAATGAAATCTCAGCAATGAGAAACTCCTGGTCCACGCTGTAACACGGACACAGCTTGAGAGCCTTATTCAAACCACAGAAAGCTAAACACATAGAAACTTACATGAGGGGTTTGGAAGGTAACTCAGCTGGTAGTGCTTGCAAAGCAAACACAAGAACATGAGTTTCATCATCAGAACTCATATTTTTAAAAACGGGTATGATGATGCCTATTTGTGATTGCTGCACTGAGAAGATTGAAGACAGGAGGATCCATGGGTCTCATTGGCCAGCCAGCATCACCTACTTGGAGAGAGGTCCAGGCTCGTAAGATACCCTGTCTCAAAAAAGTGAGGGGGATGATGTCTTTGGCCTGACTGGGGAGGCCAGGGAATGAAGAAATAACAGGTACATAGACAAGCTGGGCTTAGCTGGACCAGGCTCACTGATGGGCAAATCTCTGCACCCCAGAAGCTCAGTGTATTTATTCCATACAGCTGAACAAGGGGGGGTTACAGACAAACAAGGAGGCAGGATTAGCTGATCTCAGTAGGAGTGGCTATCAGATTCTACTGCTGTGAAGAGGCACCATGATCACAGCAACTCTTACAGGGAAAGCATTTAATTGGGGTGGCTTACAATTTCAGAGGTTTAGGTGTGCAGGAAGATATAATACTAGAGAAGTAGCCCAGTATCCTATTTCGGCTAGCAGGCAACAGGAAGTGGTCTGTCTCACTGGGCGTGCCTTGAGCATATGAGACCTCAAAGCCTGCCTCCACAGTGACCCAATTCCTCTAATATGGCCATACCTACTCTAACAAGGCCACAACACTCCTGATGGTACCATTGCCTTTGGAGCCATTTTCTTTCAAACTACAAGGAGTAAAAATCTCTGTAAACAATGTCTTTAGGCTGTATACACCCAGGGAAAGAAGGACCAGGGGAAGGCTTTGTCATCCCTCTGAGTCTACCTGAGAGGAAGACTTTTGTCGTTTTCCCTTGGGCTGAGGATTGGAGTTCTTTGGTGTCGAAGGTCCTTCTGTGTATGTGTTGTTTTTATTGGTTAATGAATAAAGAAGCTGCTTGGGCCTATGGCAGGGCAGAATAGAGCTAGGCAGGAAAACTAAATTGAATGCTGGGAGAAAGAAGGCAGAGTCAGAGAGAAGACATGTAGCTGCCAAAGGAGACAGATGCCCAGGAACCTTACAGGTAAACCACGAGCCTCGTGGTAGATTATAAAATAATAGAAATGGGTTAATTTAAGGTGGAAGAGCTAACTAGAAATACACTTAAGCTATTGGTCAAACAGTATTGCAATTACTATAGTTTCAGTGTGATTTTTTTGATGTCTGTGTGAATGTTAGTTATTAGCACACATGCACATTCACTCCAGGTTTCTCCCACCCTCAATTTTCTCGGCACTAGAGTGGCCTTCACCAAGGCTTTATGCTAGGAACGTGAGAGCAATCTAACACTTCTGTAAAAACTAAAAGGTGGCCCATCAGGTAGTGCACACCTTTAAACCCAGCAGAGGCAGAGGCAAGTGGATCTCTGTGAGTTTAAGGCTAGCCTGGTCTATAGAGCAAGTTTCGGGACAGTCAGGGGTACACAGAAAAACTCTGCCTCAATAAACAAAAACAAACAAAGTACAAAACAAAAAAAAGGTATTAGTTATATCATGCATACTTGGCAAAACCCTGGCACAGTCATATATCGCAGAGACTACTGGCTTTTGGAATTAGTAGCTCTTATCATTTTTTCCTGTTGCTGTGATAAAATGCCACAATCAAGGCAGCTTCCAGAGAACGGAGTTGATTTTCGCTTCTGTTCCATGGTAGGAAGCAAGGCAGCAAGAGCAGAGAGAGTACATCTTTTACTGCGAGCACAAAGCCGGGGGAGTGGACTGGAAGTGGAGCAAGGCCATACAACCTCCAAGCCTCCCCAGTGATCTGCACCCTAAATCTCCAAGGCAGCACCACCAACTGGGACCAAGTGTTCAAATACCTGAGCCCATGGGGACACTTCCTGTGCAAACTAACATAGAGACATCGAGTTAAAAAGTACTCGATGGTATTTACTAATGCCATGCTGCTAACATATCAGAAATTAAAAATATACATTAAGCATTCTTTGAAGGAGTCTGATAATATTAATATTATTATCATTATTACTGGGACAAAACAGCTAGCAAACAAAAGTTAAGGAAGAATGGGTTTCTTTACAGAGTACAGAGTACAGAGTGCAGAGTACAGAGTACAGAGTACAGAGTACAGAGTGCAGAGTACAGAGTACAGAGTACAGAGTACAGAGTGCAGCCCATCATGGTGGCGGCAACAGGAGGCATCTGGTCACATAGTGTCTGCACTCGGGAAGTGGAGAGGTAGGAATGCGGGTGTTCAGCTCATTTCTCTTTTTTTATCCAGTCCACGACTGCCCAGGCCAAGGATTGGTGCCATACATTGAGTCGTCCACACCCCCTCAAAGAGAGGTATGTTCCCTTACTGATTTTAAAACCAGTCAAACTGACAACTGTGGCAGTTTGAATGAGATGTCCCCCATAAACCTCAGGCATTTGAATATTTGCTTCCCAGTTGGTGCCTGGGAAGAATTAGAAGGTGTGACCTTACTGGAGGAAGTGTGTCACTGGAGGTAAACTTTGATATTTCAAAAGTTACACCATTTGAAATTAGCCTTCTGTATTTCCTGATTGTGGATCAAGATGTGAGCTCTCAGCTGCTGCTCCAGCACCAAGCCTGCCATGCTCCTTGCCATGATGGACTCTTATCCCCCTGGAACCATAAGCTCAAACAAACTCTCCCTTGAGCTGCCTTGGTCATGGTATTTTACCGCAGCAATAGAAACATATAACTAAGAGGGCAGTGAAATCAGCTATCACACGGGGGAGGCAGCACTGGAGGGGCCACCATCTCACTTACCTGGTAAGCGCAACAGCAAATCTCACATGCAAATGAAGGTTTGCATTTACACCAGTAACAGAAAACCTTAGTGGCTTCTATTTGTACCAATCACAGCAGTCCCTCTGTGTGACTCCTCTGACCTGTGTGGAAATGGCTTCAGTCATCTAAAGTTCTGTGCGGTTTGTGACAACAAATTGTCTGGTACAATCTGAAACAGTCTTGGCTCATGTTGGACCATCTCACCCTGTCATTTTAGATGCTGGAGGGAACCCAGCAAAGCTTGTCAAATACACCTAAAGATGGCAATCACTGTGTAGTTTATCAGGTTATCAGTGGGGTGTTCAAAAGCTCATATTAGTAGACAGGCAATCCAGCTGATTGTGTGAGGGACAGTTCTTTTGCTCCCAGCAGCCAGAGCAGCAAGGGCGAGCTTTAGAGTCTCTGGGCAGCACCTACGGGATTGAGGTCATGCTGTGATGGACACACACATGAACATGTACATTCGCATACATACACACAATTATATAGGATGGAGACACAGTTCAGGAGTACAGTGTCTGCCTACCATTCAAGACCTTAGATTCAATCCTCGACACTACAGAACAAGTCTAGAATAGGGTACTGACCTGATATTTTAAATAGGCTATCAGATACCCGTTCAATGCCAAAGTGCTGTGGATGCCCATGTCATATCAGTGAACCAAATGAAGTCCTCACCTCTAAGATGCATCAGAGAAAATTAGACAATTAATACACTATTTAATGTCGGGTATATCAAACCCATGGAGAAAAATAGTACTAGAAGATCCCTTACAAACCAATATTGATTTAACACATCCATGATGTCTTCAAGGGAATTATGAAAATCTAGGTATCTAGGGCTGGAAATTGCAGAGGAATATCTAATCTGAGATTGCAAGGGCAACCCCATGCTTGGAATGCTCTCTCTAGCAAGGGAAAGATGCATCTGGAACAGGTAGAGAGCAGAATGGCGAGAGGGATCACGTCAGGAAGACTCAGGTGAGATACGCAGCCTGCACAAATCATAGGTCTGATTATTTTTAGTGTCTTGTGTATCCCACTCTAGCCTTAAACTTACTATGTAGCTGAGGAGATCTTAAATTTATAGTGCTAGTCTCTTAATTTATCCAGTGTGCTAGCTAATTTTATGTCAACTTGGCATAGCTAGATGAATCTGACAGGAGGTAACCCCAAACTGAGAACGCTTCCAAAAGATTGGGCTGTAAGCAAGCCTGTGGGGCATTTTCTTACTTAGTGATTGATGGGGGAGGGCCCAGTCCAGCCCATTGTAGATAGTGCCATCCCTGGGCTCGTGGTCCTCAGTTCTATAAGAAAGCAGGCTCAGCCATCCATGAGGTGTGTATCTCACGAGTACACAGCAGCCCTCGACAGCCTCTGCATCAGCTCCTCCTCCAGGTCACTGCTCTGTTAGAGTACCTGGCCTGATTTCCTTTTATGATGAACTATGATGTAGGAAAGCAAGACAAATCAACCCTTTCCTTCCGAGGTTGCTTTGGTCACAGTGTTTCATCACAGCACCAGTGGCCCTAAGTAGGACACCCACTGCTGGGATTAGAGGCATGTGCCCCATGCCTGGTTTATGTGGTGCTGGGAATTGAACCCAGGACTTCATGCGTACTAGGCAAGTACTCTACCAACTGAGCTACATCCCCAGCCCAAGTTAGGCATTTAAAAGTGACATAATAATGCTACATTTTAAGTGTAGTCCTGGAAATAGAACTTGAGGTTAAAGGACTCACCCACCATGCAGAAAGGCTGTGGATTTGATGCATGCCCAGCATTAGGGGGGAAAATTCTGGACTTGAAGGGTCTGAACTTAACCAGGGTCTCTATTGCTGCAAACACCATGGTCGAAAGCAAGCTGGGGAGGAAAGGGCTCATCTGGCTCACACTTCCACATCACTGTCCATCACTGAAGGAAGTCAGGGTGGAACTCAGACAGGGCAGAAACCTAGAAGCAGGACTGATGCGGAGACCATGGAGAGGAGAGCTGCTTACTGGTTGGCTCCCCATAACTTGATCAGTCTGCTTTCTTATAGAACGTATGACCCTGACCATCACCTAACCAATGTTCTTAAGACTCAGTCACTCATGGCTGAGATTACAGGCATGCACCAACACACTGGTCTGTGGGGATGGGGATGGAACCAGGACTTCAAGCAGACTAGGTAATCACACTACCAACTAGCCACATCTCCAGCCCCTTGAATTTTCCTGTTGCTTTATAATTTTTTGTAAAAGTTATTTGAAGTTAAAATAAAGCCCAAACTTATATTAAGATTATCTTTCATCAGCTGGGCGGTGGTGGTGCACAACTTTAATCCCAGCACTTAGGAGGCAGAGGCAGGTGGATCTCTGTGAGTTCAGGGCCAAGCCTGGTCTACAAAGCAAGTTCCAGGACAGATAGAGCTGTTACAAAGAGAAATCCTGTCACAAAAAAAAAAAAAAGAAAGAAAGAAAGAAAGATTATTTTTAGTCATTAAGGGCTGGGAGTGAAACGGCCGCTATTAAAAAAAAAAAAAAAAGCACATGGAACAATTGTAAATACAAACAATATATTTTATTTCATCCCTGAAAATAATGACAAAACCAGAAATGTTCACAACTCCTCGAGACTGAACAAGTGCTTCAGATTTCACCTAGTGGACAATAATTTCTTCACATAAAGGTACAGGGAAGACATTTCCGAAAGCTATCTGTCATGAAACAATATATTCTTAGACTTATTTTAACAAAATAATCACCGCTACTGTTCGTGGTGGCATATTATAACAATGAACAATATCGAAAACTAAGTTCAATTTAGTCTAAATCTAGAGGCTAGCTGCAGTTCAGCAGTCATAATATAGAATAAATACTACAAAATATAGAATACTATATAGCAATTGGATTTGCTACAAAAGATATTTAAATAAAGACATGTTTTGTTCTATATTAGAGTTAACCAAATTAAGATTTCTTGTGCTGTATACAGTAGCTGTTTTCCTAAAAAGATAATCAATCTTCATAATTTATACTTTAATGCTCTTAATTTTGCAAAGGGGTCATTTATATAAAATGAGTAGCTAATCTGGCATCTCCTAGCGCAGGATACTCTTACATAACATCAACTAACATTAACATTTCCAAGCAGCTTTGTGCAGCACAAATGTTTATTATATACATCTGACTAAAGTCCTCAATCTCTTCCTTCTCCCGCCAGTATAACCAAAGCAACATTTCCCACCACATGGAAACAATGTACTTTCCTAAAAGCAGAAACAGTCAATGAACTAAATATTTCCCTTTCTTTATTTTAGACAGGGTCTGCTCTTGTCCAGGATGGCAGTGAGCTTGCCAGTCCCCTGCCTCAGCCACCTGAGTATCCATGACTACAAGCATATGACATTGGAATTTACTTTCAAATCAACAATCATGATTGTGAAAAATCATGCACATTTTATTTTCCATCATAAAAAATATGTATTATTATGCAGAATATATGTAAGAATTTTTTTAAGTATGAGATTAGAGATTACTCTCATCTCTATAAAACAGTCCCCAATGGTTACGCTATGGACAGTGGCTGCTACCCATTTCAAAATTATACTCTTACAAATGCTATTTTTAAAAATATACAATTAACCTTCAGTCATTTTGAAGGATAGTGCAAATGAAAACATTCTTTGGGTCTATTTTAAAACATGATTTTCAACGTGACACTTCCTTTTCCTGCTCATAATCTGAGTAACAAAATATACATTGGAACTAAGCATGTTTTCTACTCACAGGGACATCATGAGGGCAGATGACAGAATGAGTCAGTAACTTTATCGTCCGCTTATCTGAAAAACATGTTATATACTTAAATAAATATTTTATAGAAAGGATTCCATGTCTTTCTAGTGTTTTTGTTTCTTCCTGATCTCAAATACCAAAGATGTATACAAGGATGGCCTCCCTGCTTACCACATCAACTGTGTTACCAAACTCCCATTAAATATACAGAACAGCATCGAAGAGCTCTGCGGGAAAGCCAACTAATAGCGCCTGTGCATCTATATACAGAAGTAGCGTCCTATGAGCCCAGCGAGCTCCTTGGAAATGTGTGGAGCTTTTATGGTCAAGTATTACTCTGTCCTAGGCAGCAGTGGAAGAGGTGTCCTGCGATGGATGTATCCCACAGTGGTGTCAGCCCTGCAAGGTGGCTTCACTGCTATCTGACACTGCCGGATGCACTCGTCCTTTTGTTGGCGGTTACCGGCACCAAGTTCCCACTGGTGCCATTGGTAGTATTGGCTGCTGAGCCATTCACAACAATATAGTCAACCTTGTTCTCCAGCTTCACCAAGCGCTGCAAAATGTCATCTAAGAGGACTGCGATCGTTCTCTTCAGATCCGCTAAGGGGAAAAATGGGAATAAATCATATTAAATAGCAATAGAACACTTGATATCTGTGTCTTCACAGTTTAAGGGAAAGAGGTAAACAATTATCAGGACATCTGAAAGAAAATGTGCTCCAGAGAACACACGCAGACCCCAGACAGGGAAAGCCAGCAAGAGAGCTAAAACACACCAGAACTCACCTCTCTGAGAGCAGATTGAAAGTCAGGCTCAAGACATCAGGAACATTTAGACTGTCTCTCTTTTTTTCTGTGTATGCATGCTTTATTTGAATGTATGTCTATGCACCATGTGTTGGAATCCATGGACTGGGGTTAAAGATAGTTGTGCACCCCTATGTGGGTGCTTCCAGGACCTCTGGAAGAGAAGCCAGTGTTCTCATTGGCTGAGCCACCTCTTGACACACTATGCTGAGTTCCTTGAGCAGTGTATACAGAAGGCTTGGTCCAGGCAGGTAAAGTACTGGTAAAGGCAGATAAAGAGAGCTATGGAAGCAAATCAACCACATGCGAGCAAGACACCCGAACCCTCAGACTGGAAAAAGAATGGGGAACCAGGACACAGGGTAACCTGCTCTAAGGACTGTTCTGATCTAAGTTATTCTAGACTTTGATACAGTGACTTCCAGGTTCCCCTGGGTGACTCCAGGTCACCAAGCAGTCCTTGACTCCATCAAGAGAATCTTGTTTGTGTGTAGATACTACAACCTGGCCATCACTAACCAGAAGGCATTGACCATTAACTTCTCCATATGAGCAAAAAGGTACACACTAATCAAACAAGTGGAAGACTTGTATGATAAAAACTTCAAACTCTACTACCGAGCTACAGTACTGAAAACAGCCTGGTATTGGCATAAAAACAGACAAGAGGACCAATGGAACTGAATCAAAGACCTGGATATTAATCCACACCCTTTCGAACATCTGATCTTTGACAAAGAAGCAAAAAATATCAAATGGAAAAAAGAAACCATATTTAACAAATGGTGCTGGCATAACTGGATATCAACATGCAGAAGAATGAAAATAGACCCATATCTATTACCATGCACAAAACTCTAGTCCAAATGGATCAAAGACCTCAACATAAAGCCTGAACCTCATAGAAGAGAAAGTAGGATGTACACTTGAACATATTGGCACAGGAGACCACTTCCTGAATAGAACCCCAGCAGCACAGACTCTGAGAGAAACAATTAATAAATGGAACCTCCTGAAACTGAAAAGCTTCTGTAAAGCAAAGGTCAACAAGACAAAATGACAGCTTACAGAATGGGAAAAAGATCTTCACTAACCCCACATCAGACAGAGGTCTGATCTCTAAAATATACAAAGAACTCAAGAAATTGGTCATCAAAAGAACACATAATCCAATTAAAAAAAAAATGGAGTACAGACCTAAACAGAGAACTCTCAACAGAGGAATCTAAAATGGCTGAAAGACACTTAAGGAAATGTTCAACATCCTTAGTCATCAGAGAAATCCAAATCAAAACAACTCTGAGATTCCATCTTACACCTGTAAGAACGGCCAAGATCAAAAACACTGATGACAACTTATGCTGGAGAGGATGTAGGATAAAGGGAACATTTCTGCATTGCTGGTGGGAATGGAAGCTGGTACAACCCCTTTGGATGTCAGTGTGGCGATTTCTCAGAAAATTAGGAAACAACTGCTCAAGACCCAGTAATAGCACTTTTGGGTATATATCCAAAGGATGCTCAATCATGCCACAAAGACATGTGCTCAACTATGTTCATAGCAGTTTTGTTTGTCATAGCCAGAACCTGGAAACAACCTAAATGTCCTTTGACCGAAGAATGGATAAGGAAAATGTGGTACATTTACACAATGGAGTACCACACAGCAGAAAAAAATAACGACATCTTGAAATTTGCAGGCAAATGGATGAAGCTAAAAACATCATATTGAGTGAGGTAACCCAGACCCAGAAAGGCATGTACTCACTCATAAGTGGTTTTTAAACATAAAGCAAAGAAAGCCAGTCTACAAATTACAATCCCAGAGAACCTGGACAACAATGAGGACCATAAGAGAGACATACATGGATCTGATCTACATAGGAAGTAGAAAAAGACAAGATCTCCTGAGTAAACTGAGAGCATAGGGACCTTGGGAGAAGGTTGAAGCGGAGTGGAGAGAGAGGCAGGGAAGGGAACAGAGGAAAAATGCAGAGCTCAATAAAAATCAATAAAAAAAAAATATTGGCTGCTCTTCCACAGCATCGGGGTTCAATTCCCAGCAC